GACTAGGGTAATCACCTGCAAGAGCGCTGCGAGAGCGTCACCTTTCGTTCCTTCAGGGACCTACCCTCTCTTTAGAGGCAAGAATCAGGATTATATTGATGGTTGATCCTACTCAAATGTGAAAGTAGGGATGGGAGGTGGACCGCCAGTGGAGAAAAAAGGAAAGAAAATCCTGAAATACACAGGAAATACGAGCATTTTGCTCTATGCTGTGGAGAAGTTCAAAAGACAGGCAGGGAGATGAGAGATAATGTGAGCGCGGAGAGCGGTAGAGAAGTCCGAGAAGAGAGAGCATAGCAGATCAACGTGGCGACGCAGACAAGATATCGAACGGTGGGCGGACCATGTTAAGTTTGGTGGAGTCTGTTAGAAGTCCATGGCGCCTAGGGTCCTAGTGACGCGTTTCGATGTAGAAAGGTGGCGCTACCTTTGCACTTGCGTACCCAGCACTTCTAGCCATGGTAAGGGCTTCTTAGGTGGGTCTGAGCCCGAACTTTGCTTTTAAGAAGTTATTTTCACTCCTTTTTGTGCACTGTGACCCGTGCAGCAAATGAACTCCATTCTTGTGTTCCGTGCATATGCCCGTACAACATGAGAAATGCATCTTCTGAAGACCAGAACATGCCCTGGTCGGCTCCCTTCTTTCTTCATGGTGATTGTCATAGTCCCGATAGAATTCCTCTGCGGTTGAAGAAAAATGGCGAAACAGCCGCTCGTTAAATCTGGTGCTCGTACTGGAGGGGACAGTGTGACGCGTGGGTTTCCAAAAGCGTGATGTTGAAATGATGTTAAGGAAAAGTAGCGGGTGTATCCTTGCTCGACAAATTTCTGCCATAGTGGCAGCTAAGGTCTGAGGTAGAAGCTGTGTCATGCTGAGAGATCGTATTTGAGAGCCTACTCAGTTGACCAGGGCACGTACAATTTCAGACGTTTCTTGTTCCTCCAAGGACGTTACATGGTAAACTATATAGGTGCTGAAGAGAGAAATATGAATATTAAAGGCAAAGTTCGGGCTCAGACCCACCTAAGAAGCCCTTACCATGGCTAGAAGTGCTGGGTACGCAAGTGCAAAGGTAGCGCCACCTTTCTACATCGAAACGCGTCACTAGGACCCTAGGCGCCATGGACTTCTAACAGACTCCACCAAACTTAACATGGTCCGCCCACCGTTCGATATCTTGTCTGCGTCGCCACGTTGATCTGCTATGCTCTCTCTTCTCGGACTTCTCTACCACTCTCCGCGCTCACATTATCTCTCATCTCCCTGCCTGTCTTTTGAACTTCTCCACAGCATAGAGCAAAATGCTCGTATTTCCTGTGTATTTCAGGATTTTCTTTCCTTTTTTCTCCACTGGCGGTCCACCTCCCATCCCTACTTTCACATTTGAGTAGGAAAAACCCATCAATATAATCCTGGTTCTTGCCCCTAAAGAGAGGGTAGGTCCCTGAAGGAACGAAAGGTGACGCTCTTGCAGCGAAGGGCGCGCCGTGGCATCCTAGCAAAGCCTTGCGTGATGACAGCCACATTCTTGTATCCCATTCATTGGCACAATAAAAGCGTGCTTCGTGATAATCCCCTCATCTTCGTTGGTGGGTTCTGACTTTGGAAAAGCATTTCGTTCTAGTCGGTCACTTCTACTTCGCTATCTAGTGTTGTATCATCAAGGCACGATTTTTAGTGGCGTGATGCCACCTATCGGATTGAAGTTATCCAAACAACCTTCTTGTGGATTGCTGGCTTACCCTATGCACGGCAGAACGGTGGTCTCACTTTGCGCATTTAGACCGTCTCGTTTGGTTTTTTTTTCATCACATCTCTTCTCCACCTTCATCTTCATTTCCAAGAGCGACAAATTTATCGTGCCTTTTACAACGAACATAAAAAAAACGTTGCTTCCTCCGAAATGAGAAATTTGATGATAAATGGAATGACAAGTGATATATGTTAAGGATAGCGCTTTCTCATGCGAAGAAAGCTCTTCACCGACGCGTAAAATCGTTTTTGCAAAGTGCAACAACGACGATTTTGATACCCTCATCCATGCTTTAATTTCGATGAAAATTGCCTAAAGGTATACCAAACATTTCAATCATTCCTTTAATGAAACCGTTGTTGCTCTATTATTTCTTTGTCTATTTTTTGACTCTTCTACACATTCCGAGATGCTCTAGTAGAAGTGGGGCCGATATTAATAATTAGGTGAATAGCCGCCCTTACAACAGGTTGAGCGAATCCTTTCCCAAGAGGAGGAATGCTCTATATGGCCAGATCTGATGAGTGTTAATCATTGGAGGGATAAGTTTGGAAAGGTTTGCAGAAAGTATCAGCTGAACTTCGAATAACTCAAAATTGAGGAGTTCCGGAATGTTTATCGTGGCACTGTCGAGCGCCACCCTACTACCAGTTTTTCAGTTAGTGGAGGATTTTGAGGAACTCGGAAAGGTGGGGAGGGGTGAGCATTTTTCGCGACTCAGTGCCCAACCCTTCTTCTAATAGGAATTCACGTATACGGCTCTGGTTCATTGCACCATTATTTGTAAACACCATTAATTCTTCGACTTCACAACAGATCTGCCTTTATCACTCATTACATTTACATACTTCCATTTAGTGAATCTCGACGACATCATGGAGTAGAGGGTCCTATTGGGGAGGAGGGCGAGGGCAGTGCTGAAGGTGTTGCGTTGAAAGGACGACTTCACCGCGCCCCTCACCCTTCAGGGTAGTTCCTGAACACAACGCGGGCTGTGATAAATCCCCGTTGAGGTGGAAAGTTGTGGGGTGGGGCATGACCAGTCGTGTATAAAAAATTGGTTCATCACGGCCGACCGTGGCTGCCCCCTGCTTCGAAGAACTTCCATGAATAGACAGATCCACTTTTCTGTCAAAATCTGCTCCTACTAATACGCTCCAGCAAACTCTGTCCATACTGAGAAAAACTCAAGCTCATATAGAGAAAGAATGAGACGGGAAGGGGTAGGTGCGTCCTTGGAGATCGCACGATAGTAAGTAGCTTCAAGATCAGCTAGTCAGCTCAACGGTAGACCTTTTTAGTAAACCGAAATGAAGGTCGGGACTTTTTAATGTATAACCTAGCTCTATATAAAAGTAGTGTTAACGATTCAGCCTCATTGTTCCCGCTTTGCTCTGCCGGTGAGGTACTGGTCTTTCCTCGCGAAAATATCCCCAGCCAGAATGCTTGTAAAAAACTAAGCCCGATTTGGGCAGAAGCACCATTTCCTTCACCAAGCTTCTCAACAGTTCTCTTCTTGCACCGCCAAAATTTCCCGAATTCCGGAACATTATTGCCATGTCCTACAGTATTCTAAACGGTACTATAGTAACTATTTGACAGATTCCACCAAAACGTATTTGTACATGAAACGCACGTGTTTTGAATAATGTATGTAATATAAAATGATCTGTAAATATAATCAGCTGTAAAAACTAAAATGCTGTACAATTTCACCAGTTGTCATAGCGCTAATCGTTTGCAGCAACGTGCGGAAAGGTACTTTCTGGAACATTTTATTTCCTACGGTAACGGCGTTTCCATTATAAGGACAAGATGAGATGCGGGATAAATCACTTTTTTTTCAAATCCAATTAATTGCTTTTGAGAATTTAATTGAAGCAGATTCCTTTCTGTTCACGGTCATGAACGTTTCCTCGTTTCCATAACCTTCTCTCGGGATTGGCCTCCCAGAACACGCTCGTTTAATGCGTTTTTTTTTCGCAGCTGACCACCAGATAGGGAAGCTCAGGCATTCTGATCGCTACTTTTATGCAATTGTAATGAAATCTCATTTTAAATCTCATTTCTTCTGATTTTTCATACCTTGGAAACATTGAGCTGTTCATGTTTTCTTGTGGAATAATTCCTGTCATGGAAAACAATTCTTCGACATAGCACTTCTAGAGTATAGGTTGTCGTTTGCTATGCGCGTGATGAAGCCAAGACGTACTGTGATTGGTTGTTGTAGGATGCGCACCAATCGCATGCGTCTATTGCAACCGCGCCATCGTTCTTATTCAAGACTAAATACACTTACAATACAATAATAAAATTTAATTAAAGCAAATTCTTACTGTTCACGGTCACGAACATTTCCTCGTTCTTGACCCATGATTGATTCTAGCTTGTTTTCTCCCTC